CTTCATTATCAGTCCTTCCAATGAGCAATCAGGGTTGATTTCCCTGTAGAGAGTGCCCAACTTCAGTTCTGATTCCCAGCAGCCAGAGCATAGCAATGTCTAGATTCTCCACTCCTGGGTTAGACCAGTGGGAGATATCCATATAGCACTCTTAACTGTAAGGTAACATCTGATTCACGCTGAAATGATGGAATGTATTTCATATACTAAAGTACAATTAAATATTAAACACAAAATAGTTAATTTAAAATGTTCAATAAAATGTAATTCAATTTTAGATTTCCAATGAAATTTTCTTACTAAAGAAATCTGCTGGCAAGATTACCATGGTAGGAATTTCTATGCTGTCCCATATTTGTATCATTATTTAACATATTATACCTCATTCAATTATTTTTTAAATAAAAGTATTTAAAAAGTATATAATTCTCTAGTGGAATTTGTTCTAAAACTCAGTGTTAATCATTGCACTCATCTACTATCATTTCCCACCTGGTTAAACCAACTGTGCCAGGTAATTGCATCATCATTAATGGTGAACATTTGATCTGGGGGAGCCTGGGGTTCTACACTCCCAACTTTCACTCTCTGTAAAGAGAGGTTGGAAAAAATAATCCAGTTGAACACATCAAATCCAGTCACTAGCTCTCCTTTTTGGTTGAAGGTGATCTTGTCTTGAGCAGTGTTATTAAATGAGACGTATCTCAGAAAGTGATGGACCTACATTGGAAAGGGAAATATGACATTTTAGAGAAAAGTACATTTTTATATTCTAATTGATGGTTGAAGCAAGATAATGGTATTTGATGCTTTTCAAGTGGGAGAAACCTATTGAAAGAAAAGATTCAAATATAAGAGGGGAATCAACCCAAATTACAATAATTCTGTTCTATCCTCTAGAAGTAATTTTCCTAGTTCCTGCATGTATAGGAACAACAAAAGACACTGGTGTTCTATGATGTTCGCAATAGGTACTGCACATATGTCTGAACCACATTTTGCCCTTCACATCCAGATTGATTGCCCCTTCCTAATAGTTACTTATTGTAGATTCCTCTGCTTTGGCAATGATCTCATGGTCAATATAAGTGGATCATGGGAATATTCATGGTCACCAAGAAAGTAGTGGTAGAGCACCAGAAGGTCTGCATACTGTAAACAGTAATCCAACATTTCTTTTCATATTAAAGCATGCTATTTGGGGCTGAAGACAGCAGAAGAACACTCATATGGACTACTCAGCCAGATTTGTATACCTGATTTTCTACTGATAGGTGCCTTACATACCATGACACCACAACAGCAATCATGAATATCCTCTGATCTTTTAAATCCCATACCTACTTTCCTTTATTCTGTTCTCTGTCTTTTTCTTCATTATTGTTTGGCTTTGTGTATTTTAACCATAAATGGAAAAAAAATAATCGAAACATAAATGATAAAAACCCCACATCACATTCTGTTTAGAGGAAGCTCACAGATTTCCAGAGGAGAGTAGGGCAACTGAAATGAAATATAGGCTGTTGCGTTTAGCTGGCAGGGAGAAGAAGGTAAACAATAGTGAGGTAATGAAAAAGTGGTATGCAGTTGTATGCAGAGATTAAAACCTTTTCAAAAGATACTTTCCTGTCACGTTGTTTGAAACATTACCTGCCAGAATACTTGATTTCGCACCTTCTGTCTTTGAGCATCCCTCATTGCTCTGAGTTTGATGTTAGAGAAAGTCATGTCATGGATAGCATGGGCCACAGCATAGACGGCATTGTAGATGCTATAGCTGGGGGTAGTCATGGTCATTTCAAAAAATGCCCCAGGGAGGCTCTCCAACTTCTCTTTCCCAGTGCAAATACTCTCAACATCATCTTCCATGGAGTTTGGGAACACACAAGTGAAAGCTTGTTGCCAAAAGGCACCAATGAAGCCATCTTTTGAGTTGTAAGCACTTACGCTTTCAAGAAATGTCTTGAATCCTGGTATGTCATTGGAGTGAGTTTTGAATGACATGGCCCCATGGAACATTTCTGCTTCCCAATTTCTTTGTAAAGCAAGTGAAAGAAACTCTAGCTGAGCTGTTGCTATCCATACTTTACCTTTTACCTTTTCTGTGTGTAACTCATAAAAATAGGGAAGCCAACCATAAAGTGCCATAGAATATGATTCTCCATGGATTAGTACTACATTGGCTTTGCTGCCCATCAGTTTATAATATATTTTTGTCCCCTGTTGCAAAGTGTCACTGATGTCAGTGAAATAAACAAATACCCTTTCTACGAAGGCTAAGCAGACACCACTCTTGGAAAAAATCAGGGAGATGGTTTGCAAAAATCTTTCTCCATTATCATTATCAATAGCAATGACTCCAATCCAATACCACTTGAAATGCAGAAGCAAAGAGAGAATTCCTGTGTATTGGAGAGATTCCTGAGGAGTGGTCTGGTAGAAGAAAAGGCCTGGAGTTTTATCATTCATAACTGGAGCAGAGCCATAGGTGAGCTAAGGAGAGATAACAGGTAGTGAGGAAAGCAATAATAACTCTACATATCTTAATCAGTTATGTCAGAAATTCTGCACTCTTCCTAAAACTAGTCTCCATTTGATGTGATGGACATTTATGTTATTAATACATATTTTTCCAGTAAACATCAGGACATTGTCTTTAAATATGATAATTTTATCATTAAATTTAAATTAGCATTAATGATGAATTATCATATCAGTAAATATGATAATTCCACTGGAAGTTACATTTAGGTTGCACAGAACTGACATACTGAAATATTTATAAACATTGCTTTAGTTTTGGGGAATATGGTGGGGACTGGTAATTTTGTATATAGATTTTGGACTTGTATAGAGGTTTTGGATGGATATGAAGTCCTGGATGTAACAGATCACAACAGGAATCAACTGCAGTAGAGAAAGATGTCACTTTTAATTTTGAAAGCAGCTCTTAACAAGTTCTGGATAAACATTGGAGGTCTCAGTCTCAGAAATTGTGGGAAACAAAGTAAAATGTTAGATTTTGTAGTAGATATGTATGCAACATTTACTGGTTAGTGGAATTAATATTAATTTGGATCCAGGCTAAATCAGAATGAAACCATTGGGATCATGAGTAGCGTAATTCCCCTTAGTTTCACTGGATGCACTTTGAAATCTGGGATCCAATCTATTCTGATTTTATTATTTAGAATAGAAAATAATGATGCTAATGGTAATAATTGCCTCATCATTCTATTGTAACAGAATAATGGCATAGGAAGCGTCTGCAGACTCATTGTAAGACTCCTCATAAGCAGGTTTAGAAAAAAATCACTGTATTATGAGAAAGTTTTTATAGTTTTTTCATAACACAGCATTAATTTGCTTACAGCTCAATATTATCCTCTATTTCCACATATACACAAGTTGTGTATTTCGACATGCGCGCAGTCAAAATTCAGTTCAACTGAAAATGAATGCATCCTTGTTTTGCTGTTTGGTGACAGAACTATTTCTGATTCACTGAAATTCACACTCACAAGTCACAGAAGACTGGAAGTAGAGTTAACTCAGGAAGCATCTTCGGATTCATAACCATAGGGAAAAATGGCTCAGATAGTATTGCTTGATAGTTTACTATTTAAACAGATTAATACAAATATTTTGCATACAGAAACAATGATTTGCTTTACGGAGGAGGAAATGGCTTGGTTACACAAACAAAACAACAATAATAACACTGTTAATAAAGAAAGTAAATGAAAGGGGAAAAAAAGCAAATGAAAAAGAAATTATTCGACTATTGAAAGAAAATGATTCACTGAGCATTGTCACCAAAGATGATAACATATTTTGGCGATTGTTTGCAACTGAATCAACACAAACTTGTAATATAATGCCACCTATGATTTGATTTAATGCTCAGACCACAATGACTTACTGAAGTGGATGTGAAAGGAATTCAGTGCCATAAAAAGTTCCACTTAGATTCATTGAATTCAAATCCCAAATTATCCTGCTGGAGATTTTTTTTTTTTAAGATTTTCAAGAAAAACAAGGGTGCTCAATGTATTGATGCGACGTTGAAGAGATTCCCTTGATCTGCAAAGATAGACTCACTCCATCCTTTAAATGTTGCTAATGGTTGTAATTGATAAGCTCTGTTTATAAAGAAATGAATGTAACTGATTTGAAACCAAATTGGAACATGTGACTAATCTTTTTGCAAAATATATTGAGCGGTATAATTTATCTTCCAATCTTCTGTATTTAACAAATGTATGATTGTGCTTCCAAAGAGAACAATTGAGAAATTAGAGGAGAGGCATTAGATTGTTTCTAACTTTCCAGACTTCTAAAGTAACTTTTAAATATTGATTTGAGATCTTAGATATTGATTTTTTAGTGTCAGGGAGGAATGGTATCCCTAACCATGTAACACTAAATCAGTTGGTCCCTATTCAATATTATTTGAATTCCTAAGAATATGAATTGACTTAACCAATTTATATGGTTTATATGGTATGCACAAATTCCATCATGTTTTTTGTTTCTATTGTATGGTTTGCAAATTCAAAACTTTCTTCTATTTATGTATACATGAAATATGTTGCTATGTATACCAGCAGGTCATAAGCAATGAAATTGGGAATGTTCGAAACAAAAATAATTTTTTTGGAAGAAAGTAATTTTGAATGCACTTTACAACCATGGATTCCTTGTTAAACTTGACCAAAAGAGGGGAATAGTTGTATTTCTTTAATTGATACCACTCCTTTGTAATAATTATTGCTAACTCTTCCCACCTGGATTGATATGGTCTAGTAGCTTGAAGTCATGAGTGATTTCTTTTTTTTTTTTGTCAATGATAATTAACAGAGCAGAGAATTTGTCAAGGTTAACTTCTAAACTTGCTACTGAATAAAATGTTTTAATTCCCATTGCTATCTTTATTATAATAAGCTAATTTTAAATATCTAATCAAAGACAGAATGATGGAGTATGAAAAGCAGCCTTTATGAATATAAAAGGAAACATGTCACTAGGAAATATTAAGATTTCAAGCTAGATGAAGGTAAGCCTGGCTGCATGTGAAAATGGAGTATACCTGGCTGAAAAAAATCAATTTAGAGAAGAAAAACCAGAATAGAAAAAATGGATTATAATTTCCTGTTTCTGAAAAAGTGGAACACAAATGGGCTTCACCAAATTAATGGTAGAGAAGAAGAAGTTGCCGATACAGACTTTCATCTAGAATATAGGGAGAATTTTAAATTTAAATGCCTTAATCCCCCAAATATCCAGGGGGGGAAAATGAGTTCTTTTCATAGACAGGGCTTTGATGGTGATGAGGTAAATATGAAACAGAGCATCTGAGGTTTTAATAAGCACAAAGCCAGAAATAATTTGCCTAAATAACCAATGGTTGAAATTGACTCAAGACTTAAGTGCAGTAGCTTATGAATTGTGGTTCCCATATGTGATCATTGAAGCTATTGGTCTTGGTGCTGGAAGGTTATATGGAAAGGGAGCTTTCTAACAAGAACCAAAGGAGAGCAGTGTCAACTGGCAGCCAAGCCATGCCACATGTGGAACCAAGCCCTTGGCTCAGCTGGTGCTTTTCAAGAAATAAAATGATTTGAAAAGGGTATTTCTGAATACTGAGGCAACCAAGTAGTTCAAGGAAAGAAGTGCAGATTTTGATCTAGAAATGTAGCATAAGTCCCACAAGAAGGTATAAGTAGTAATGGGTAACAATCATGTGGACCACAATGAATCCTGTTGAATTTCTTAAGCCAAATTCTAGAGAACACAAAATGATAGATACAACTCTTGCCAACAAAAAAAATACCCCAATGGTTTTAAGTTCCAGATACAGACTTTAAAAAACTTAAGTATTCTGTGTTTTGCCTTGGATAGGTTAGAACGGGATGATAGGCTTTGTGAATAGTAAAAAGCAGAAGGCTTAAAAGAAACTTGAAGGTATTCTTTGTGACTCTATTGTTGCCATGAATTCTGGTATTCAGTTAAGAAGTGACCTATGCATTGTAGCTTTTGACATACTACAAATAAAACAAGAACATTTGGAAATATGCATGTTATATTATAAGAACAGAGGTATGAAAAAAGTCTTACATCCCCAACTTTCTCATGCATAATTATTCTGATAGCCTACCTGTGGAATTTTATAGATATCCAAAATAGTTGCTATATGACGGGAAATAGTGGAGTCAAGACCCCCAATGACTGCTATCAAATTATATTGGTCATCACATGTATAGTTGGGGACCAGTCTCTCAATTGCTGATAGAAGGAGCATGGTGGCCTGATAAGTCCTTCGAGCATTGTCATAGCTGTCATAGATACGGAAGCCCAAGGTGAAATTGGGTAAAATCTGTGGGTTTTCATTGATCTTCTTTACTGCAAATACCAAGGCCAGGATGTGCTGGTAATTTTTAGGAATTATACTGCAATGAGAATTGCATTCCATATCAGAAGGATAGCCAACATTTACAGAAAAATCTTATATGTACTGTATATATTCTGTTGCTTGTGTTGTTTGTTTCATGATTGTCAGCGTGACTTGGATCTTATGATAACATTGTTATCTTTCCTGAGGCAGTGAGGAAAGAAACAAGATTAAAGTATAGCCATCCGCCTCCTCAAAATCAAAATGGCATGTTGTGCATATCCATGGCCAAGAGTAGTGATCTTTAGGTACAGCCTTAGCCTCAGCATCTGGAGGACTATTCCCTTGAGTAACAGATCTTTACAGCTGGTTGTGATTCAATGTAAGACCGTAACATATTTTCACTGGAGGCAATGTCTTTCTCACGAAATTATGTTGCTTTTTTAAAAAAAATGCCTATTCAGTTTGCTGGAAAATAATTTTTTTTCTTCAAAGGAGAAGAACATTAGGAAGGTTTTCTCACAGCTGGTGTGTGAAGCTCTTATATCTACCTTAGTTACAGTGGGGCTAAGGGGTGTGTGTGCAGAACATCTTTCACATTATCTCCCTAGCATCTGCCCTATTCTTGACTTCCCATGATTTCATTCAATCCCAAGAGAAGATTTCATGAAGAAATTCCTCACTTCAAGTTTTTTTTTTTAGATAGGAAAACATGAGCAACTAGGAGGCTCCAAATGAAGAAATAGGTAACCGAAAAACAAAGATCACTACCAACTCTGCCATCTTGCATCAATAAACTCAAAAGTATCACCAGAAGGAATTCTAAAATGCCCAGAGAATTAAGTAGACTTAATTTCATAGATTTTATAGAGTATATCAATAGATTATATTTTAGCATGATGGTATTTGAGAGCTCTGCTCATAAGGAACACTCCTATGACAATGAGGAGAAAACGATGCTTGTGTAGTATTATTTATAGTGGGAAATGGCTGACAGTATTTCTGTTCCCTGAATTGTTCAATACAGTAAAAAAATGAGCCACAAGTTGAGTACAATAGAGGAAACGGGAATCTGTAATGTGAAAGAATGATGTGTGGAAAGGAACAAACTGAAGAACATGTAGTTATAAGTAACACAAATGCCCTAAAATATACCCTCTTTGGTGTTTCATTTCCCCCCTTCAATATTCCTTTACTGCTAAGAACATGGTCTGCAGCCTGAGTCCAAATAGCCAAATCTGATGAATATATCTTTTAGGGACAAATCTTGCATGGGATTTGTCTTAGCCCTAACCATTATTTGGAGGCACCAGAAATCCAAATAAAGATATCCCCAAAATTAAATCCTTACAGCAGTTCTTCAGACAATGGCACAGGAGGTTGTTTTCTGAAATTTATTGACACGGGGACAATGCCAGAATGAGTAGGTATGCCACCAATGATAAGATCTCCTTGCTTATGATACTTATGAAGTGGAGGGTGAAGATCATGGATGATGCATTTTACAACATGAGCCTTGCCTACCATATCTGGAAAAAGCACCACCAGCAAAATCACAAAAATTAACATCCTCAGTGCAAATACAAATCCTCCCTCAATACACAGATCCATCTATTTTCATCTGCAAGGCTCTCAGTTTTGTTTGCGGGCTTATGGCAGTTTAGTCTGTATTTCTCAGGAGACTGGAAATTGCTATTAATTATAGTAAGAGCAATAGACAAGTACACTTTCCTAATCACTCTCTTTAATTGTAAACTGCATGGATTATATTTATGACATTGTTACTTTTTGTTAGTAATTCTGACACGAGTCACTGAAATTCAGCAGAGGTTTGGAGAAGCAGAATTACCTGCCTTTACATAATTATAGACCAAGATTATCAGCAGTCCACAGTTCAGTTTCTCTATAGGACAATTGAAAATTAACATGGGTTTGTCACATATGAAGTGACATTGACTCTGAGTCATCAAGCAAAAGTGTTTAGCTCAGTTTCTGTTCACCTGAACTTCAATTTGACCAAGGGTGCCTCAACATTTACATGCAACTATATGGATCAATCTATACTGGAGGTTCATTTCTGGATTTTGGCCAATGACACTGATGTATCTTCAAATGTGGTAGTCCTTGATCTCAACACTTGAAAAAAAGAACATTGTTCAAAGAATTGTATTCCTTCCATTTCAGCTACTAGTTCTCCCTTTTCTAACAGTGATTCTTTTTCTAACAGCATGTATTAACTTGATGCACTGATGCAGCTCCAACTCTGACACAAGATTAATTGGTTTCATTTGGGTTATTCAGCATGAAGTTAAGGCCCAAGCTCAGGTTGAGAGGAGTTATCTTTCATGCAGGGCAGACTTAGACAAAAGGAAGCAGCCAGTTTGAGTAGTAGGATAGAACGATGAGCAAATTGGGGCCCAACCCATTTAATTCTTCCAACCTTAGAACAGCTGCTTTATTGTGCACAAGATGTTCACATTTTTGGAGTGGGTTGTCACATTAGCTGGACAACCTGTATGCTTTATTCTGAAGAGGTCCTCATAAAGCTTCATGAGGTGGTCAGGATTATGGCTACCCTCAAAATATGTCACTTGAATACTTCTCTAAGCACTTGAGTTTATAAGCAGCCAGCCTGCCGGTGGACTAATGGATGAATGAAAGTTCAACATATATGCAGGAAGGAAGAGCAGAGGGAGAGGTAGCTCTTGGGCTGCCTTTGCTTCTACTATTTGAAGATGGCACAGCTTGCTCCTTTGAAGCTTCCCCTTTCTCAAGCCTAGAGACAGTTCAAATCCTTGTACCTCTTGTGCAGAATTTACAGCTGGAGTTCTTGAGGGCACAAATTGCAACTCAGAACAGCAGAAAAAGGAAATAGACCACCTATACAACATCTTCCAACAAAATGGATATCCATGCAACTTTATCAAAAAGTGCCTGACCACTCAACCTACTACAACACAAGCTATTAAAAGGATAACATTGGCATACATCAGAAACGTCTCAGAAACAACCAACAGACTATTACAACCACATGACATCTCTGTAGCACACAAACAAACTAAAGCCCTCCAAAACATCTTAAGTAAACCAAAAGACCCAGCAGCCCAAGGAAAAAAAAACAGGAGTCATCTACAACATACAGTGTAAGGACTGTAACAACCACTACAGTATGTAGGACAGACAGGCAGAAGGCTAGCAGAATGTATCCATGAATACCAACTAGCAGTCAGAAGACACAATGAAAACTCCTTAATCTCACAACACATGGACAGACTTAACCATA